GAGGTTCTGTAGGTCATTGAGGTTCTGTAGGTCATTGAGGTTCTGTAGGTCAGGGAGGTTCTCTAGGTCAGGGAGGTTCTGTAGGTCAGGGAGGTTCTATAGAGCTGTGCCAGCAGTTTAGCTGCACATCCTGACTATCCCTGAGAGTTTGTTCCTGTTTTTGGACGTCAGAAGTCCAAACCAACAATTGAAGGTAAAAGTTCAAAGAGACTCAATAAAATATTCTAATAAAAGTAGAATCAACATTAAAACCTCAGAGCTTCCAATAAAAATACATTGTCTGGTTGGTCTTCTTACAAAGTGAGTTCACGTGGAGGTCAAAGGTCAGTTTGTCATCGAGAACCGTTCCCAGATGTTTATATTGATGCACCACCTCGACAGCTTCACTGTTAATGACCACAGGAGCTGCACCTGAAGAGTCTTTTCTAAAATCAACGTCCATCTCCTTTGTCTTAGAAACATTTCACTTTAAAATGGAAGACGCACCTCTGGTGAACACCTCCGCTTCTTCCCCGCTTCCTTGCACCTGGCTGCTTCTGCTCCCAGCAACGGTCTTTAGCCGAGGTCCCCGTCCGGAGGATGTCTGCAGGGACAACTGCAGAAGGTTCCACAACGCCCGCACCGGAGTCCTGCAGCAGGAGGAGGACGTCCCGGCCATACTGCAGCCACGTCTGGTACTCACAGAGTCCGTCACAAAAGAGACTAAAAACAAGCCGAGAAGGATGAAGGAGAAGTAGCTACTGCTACTGCCTTACTCAGAAAATGACCAAAAATCAAAACGGGGACAAAACGTATTCGTGTTGGATAAAAATATCTTCTATTCATCGTACTCAGTGAAGCCACACTGGAGGACAAGATGTTTAACTGGTTTTACTTGCAAGGGCAGCGTCAGTCACAGGTTTACACAGAGGCATAAAAGCTCTACATCACTGGGGCCCAGTCGCGACGATCTGCACCGGGCAGTGTGCGAGAATTGTTTTTATACATCAGCTCTCAGGCCTGATGGCCTCGGCCTCCCAGCTGTACATGCAGGATCAAATCAGCTCCTCTCTGAGGGAGAAACGAACTCTCTGATAACTCACACACATGGTTCAACATTAGCTTAACATCTGCAGTGACAAACGTCCGTGACCAACACTCCCCTGACAGTCGGCACCAAACGCACGCAGACGCTCGCACGGCGCCGCTGCTGCCTGCGGCCATTACCAGCGCCGTGTCGTCAGAGCGCAGGCTGCAGAACGAGACGGTCCGCGGCCGGTTCATCACAGGACGGGACGCACCGTGCTCCAGCAGCTGGCTGCACATCTGGCTCAGTTAAAACAGAAACTGGCATTGTACACAGAGGTAAAACAAATATTTTAAATAATATATGAAAACGTTATTTAAATAAATAACTTCCATGTCCAAAAACTGAGAGACTAAAAAAAATATTTAGTCAGTTGTAAAAAATAAATAGTTTTTTTTTTTAAACCAAAGAGGCTTAAAGAGTTTGAATTTTTAAAAATCATTTAAATTTGATATTTTTATTTCAGGCTGAGATAGTTCTCAAAGACTGATTAGTTTAATATTTAAAGAAATATTTAAAAAATGGTATTTTTAAGCATTACATGACGGTTGATTTCCCCCTAAGGAACACGGATGGTCATAAAGTTAGCCGTTATACAAAATATTAAAAATAAATCATCAGCTCCTTCTGCGGTAAAACTTGTTAACGGCTCACGTTCACTCCGATTTTAAAAACTTTATTCATTTATTTTGTTTCTGCAGCAATTTGGGGTTAATTCATCTTTACAACTCTGCATAATTTTTTTACATGTTTTTTTTAATTAATTAAACAATAAACTCTGGGATCAAACTTTCTTTAATCGCAGATTTCTCTTCTAAATTTTTTAAATAATTAAAATATGGATTATTGCTATCAAGTACAAAGTTTCTGATATAAATCAAACTGATGTCTCCAACTTTGATTGGCATTTTATCTGTGCTGAAGTTTTTCTGTTTATTCTGTTTGGGGACAAAACATGTGGAAAACATGTGGAAAACATGTGGAAAAGAATGTTTTCAATGTTGAAGAACCAGAAGCTCAGATATAAATATGAAACATTAAAATGTTGTTATGAAGATTTTGAAGAGATTTTATTTTATCTAAAAGGAACTGAGCAAAATAAACTAGTTGTGAGAATCATGAGCAACATTTAAGTCTCGCTGAATTTTAATCTGAGCTTGACATGTTTCTGGTCTCACTCGATTTTTAGTTTTAAAGAAAATCTTTTTTCCGTCAGGGACCTTCCTGATGTCTCAGTGAAGGACTTTTCTAAAGTCAACCTGCATCAGTTCAAGTGGATTCACTGGGAGGTGAGAAAAACCTGAACACAGATTAAACTGGCAGAAAACCAAACTGAACCTTCCTGAAATCAGGACCGTTGTTGAAAACTATGATTTCAGTCACAACAAAGTTTATAAGTTTATTCTGAGGATCTGTGTCTTGTTGCTGTTTTACTCCAGTAGCCATGATATACTCAGGGGTAAGGAAGTGAGGACTAGTCTCTGATGGTGAAACCTCATCCGAGGAGCCTGTTGACAAGGACTCTCCGAGTTCTGTCTCTGGGCCCATTTAGGACCCCAAAGACAAAAAACTAATGTTCGTAAAGATTAGAAAGGAATGTAGTTCTGTCCTGGATTGAGCTGCACGGAGAGGGATTGGACCAAAATGGACAATGTGGATTAGACCCCCCACGCAGACCTTTGGGGTATCTTCACTAAGAATTAGTTTTTTGATATCGTCTTCACTGTCTTATTTCTTTTTGGCTTTATTTCCTCTCTTGCTGTCCTGGCGCAGGGCCGTAATGCTGACGAGCAGATGAAGATGATCCAGCAGGTGGAGGTGTTTAACAGCAAACGTCCTGACCATCTGAAGATCACCGTCTCTATAGAGATTGAGAAAATTCGAGAACCGCTGTATCAACTGTTTCCTTACGGTGATGTGGTATGGGTCTCCTAAAGGACACCTTGAATCTGTCTGAACAGGTTTTACTAACTGAAACAGCTACAACTTGTTTTTCAGCTTATCTCGTGTTGGTTTTGGATTACGACTCCAAGAACAAGATCCGATACAAGCAGCTGAAATAAGGTTCTTTGTAGAGTGGCCGGGCTCAACCTTACACTTGGGAGAAGAAGACACTGAGTGTCTCACTGTGGAGGTTTTCTGGTTATGTCCCACAGGCGCAGAATTCACTGGAGGGATTATTTATCCTCTCTGGATCCTCCAGGAGTTACTGGAGAGCATCACATGGATGGACAGACAGACGGAGAGTTTAGGGTTGTGTCAGAAAGGGCATCTGGCATAAAAAAATTGTCAGAACAGTCATGCAAGTTCATCCAAACCAGATCATACTGGATCAGTCAAGGCAACAACAACCACCACTGAAACAATTTCAGCAGAAATTTTGCTTCTATTAGTCAAAGACTACGAGGAAGGAAACGTGTCAGGAGACAGAGAAGAGGAAAGTGAAGAATGTAGGACTGAGGGTGGACACTTTACATGTGGGGACAATGACATTCAAAGGTAGAGAGCTGGCTGACATGATGCAGAGAAGGAAGGTAGATGTTTTATGTGTCCAAGAGACTAAGTGGAAGGACAGCCAGGCTCGCAACATTAGAGCAGGGTTCAAACTGTTTTACCATGGTGTGGATAGGGCATGTTAGACCAGTACAGGATATGTTGGTCATTATATTGTCTTCTGCATGACTAGGCCTGTCACAATAACAAATTTTGCTGGGTGATTAATTGTCCCAGAAATTATTGCGATAAATGATAATGTTTGCAATTTGACAATAATTAGTAATTATTGTCAAATTTAAGAAGAAATGTTGCTTAATTTGTTTTGAGTGTAGTACATTTTTTGACCACTGGATGGCAGTATAAGACTGTTTGAACCGAAGGATGGATAGTGAGGGAGCGAGCAGCGTGTCTCTTTAAAAAAAATGGGAGGTAGGCCCCTTGACGTGACATGGGCTGTCTCCATTTCCTTTTTTCGGTTCTCAAAATGGCGGACGCTCGGTGTGGTTTGAGCTCTTTAGCATTTGTCACACAAAGCTTTTAATAAAAAAATCAGTAAACAAGTTTTCAGCTTCTTTTTACAGAGAAAAACAACGTTTTACACGAAGGCACGGGTTTCAACTGTGACTTTTGGAGCTTCAACAAGACAGAGGTTTTTTCCCGAGGTCAGCCTGTTAGCTTAGCTCGTAGCTTAGCTGCTTTGAACGATCCAAAAACGCAATTTTGGACGGTTTAAATGGATTTTAAAGAGAAAGGGAGGGTCAGTGAAGAGCACCGGAGTTGATCCTTTTGTCATCCAGTGTCTTCAGAGAGAGACATGAAGAAACGATAAAGCCGATAAATGAAAATGAGGTTGATAATTTTCATTTATTATGCGATTAATTGATTTATTGTTTATTGTGACAGGCCTATGTAAGACATTTGTTTTGTTGCCTCCTGTTAATTGTTAATGTTAGTTTTGTCCAGATGTTTTCAGCTGTAGATGGACATTAACCCATCTAGACTGTACTGAAGGTGTTGGGATATGAAACATGTTTGTCTTGTGAAGACCTTTTTCCTGTTTACTCTAGCTGCCATCCTTTACTCGTCTCAAGCCCTCGGTCTTTATTCTCAGGTTAATGTGCACATCGTGTTCTCCGTTCCACAGGTGTTTGTCAGTAAAGATGTTGCTCGTCACTTTGGCTTTCCTTCAGCTGAAGCTGCTCTGAAAGGACTCTACCATCGCGTCAAAAAGGGGTGAGTTGACTGAAAACAAACATCTGGAGAGCTCAGTTCTGGTTCTGACCTTATTCTGTGTCTCAGGGCAGTTCTGATCTGTGCCTGGGCAGAAAAAGGAGCGGATGCTTTGGGTCCGGATGGTTCACTTGTTCATTCTGATGCTTTTCCTCCTGAGACTCTGGTTGATACTCTGGGGGCTGGAGACACGTTCAATGCTGGGGTCATCTACACTCTTTCCAATGGTAAAGGTCAAAAATCTCGTTTATCTTTAAAGTACATTTTTTTAAAAATCCTTGCATCCCAGAGTGCTTTAAAGAAAATACAGCAAAAAATTAAAATAATGAAATGGCACTGCATGCACACAGCAGACTTAAAGTCCATCCATCACCTTTTACCCACTCCTTCCTTTTCGGGTCAATTTCAATTAAACTGAGCCTCCATGTGGTCTTCTGGTTTCTAATTGCAGGAGGAAGTCTGCAGGATGCTTTGAGCTTCGGCTGCAGGGTTGCTGGCAAGAAGTGTGGTTTCCATGGTTACGATGGCATCAGTGAGGTGCTGAATGACGTGTGATCGGAGTGGAAATTGTTTCAGACTCGTAACATACTCAGATAATTAACGGACGACGTGAAACGAGTAAAAAACTTTTTTATCGTCTGCTTCAAGATGAAACGTTCAGAAACAGTTGAATTATTTTTTTAATGTCAGAATGTGAACAAACTAACGGAGATCAAAGATAATCAACAGCTGTCAGTTTATTAAAAACATAATAATAACAAGCAATGAAGTGACGGAATCGAATCCTCAACCGAGACTAGTTTTTGTTGACCTGACGTGAACTTTGTGACACTTTTTGTTAACGGTGTAAAAACTTTCTCTGATGAAAATAAAATGAAGGTCTTCACTCCTCATGACTGATAAAGTTGATGACATGTCAGTCAATAAAGAAAACCCCTAAAGTTGAATATTTGTGTTTAGTTCATTATAAATGTGCTCCGATGAGTCGGAAACCTTTTAGTTTCCAGTTTTTGACAGTTCCTGGTCTCCCAGTGTTACCGGTCTGTGATGTCATCAGCCTCTGGTTTAGTCTGTTATTGCTCAGAGTGGAGAAGTTTGAGTCGTGAATATTTACTCATCTATGTATAAATTCACATCAGCCAGATCATTATGACCAGTAAAATAACACCAAAGTTCTGGTAAACCTGTTTTTTGACATTAACGTGGCTCTTAACTGTGTTTCACTGATGTTTGACATCTTGGTTTGGGTCTGGATCACAAAGATGAGCACCACCTCTGAGGAGCCCACCTCTGACCATTCACATGTGGACCACACAAAGCTGGCCTCTTGGAACCGGAGAGAGGAAGCTGTGCTTTTAAAGTGGAGCATGGAAGACGTCACCAACTCAACTCTCAGAGTGGTGAACCAATTTCAAGCCCCCCCGTCTTTCCTCCGTTGATTCACACACAACTAACCGGTATAAATAAAGGTTGGATGAACGCAGGGTACCAAGTGGGAAAACTTTCCCAGACTCGTTAAAAGTGTGTGAAAGGGGCATTTTACTTGAACTATTTACAGAACAATCCCACACACACACAAAACAACACCCCTCCCACCTTGGCATGACATCAGTGCAATGGATCCTTACAAAAAATGTTGAACCTTATCTAAAACCTCAGAGACCCCACGGTCCACAGATTCTTTATTGGAGGCACCAAAACCCTGGACCTATCGCCGCCATGTTTGACCTGGTTCTGAATGTTCAGTTTTTGTGGTAAGAGACTGTAGGTGAATATTGGGTCGTGACCGGTCATAATGTTATGGCTGATTGATGAGCGCTCAGACAGTGAGGGTAGTGTTGCTGGTCTGTGTCTCGGTGCTCGGACTCCCCACCACCATCTCCCTCAGGCCTTTGCTGAAGTGAAGATTTGCTCCAATCACAATGAAACCCTGCAGAGATCAAACAGCTGCTCTCACCCATCTCAACAACATCTGTGCACATCTGGAAACACACTCACGTTGTGATACTCCACCACCTCCTCTATGAAGTCCATCCCATCAGCCAGAGGGATCCGGACGCCCCTCTTGGTCCAATCTGAAGTTGGAAACAGAATGTGTGAGAGCAGCTTCAAAGATCTCAGGACCAGAATGAGGATCAGGGTCTTACTGTTGATCAGAGGAACCACGGACATCTGCAGCATGGTTTTCAGAGGAGCCTGCAGAGGAATCAGCTGCAGACAGATGAAAAGGTGTCACTGAGGCTTTCGGACAGTCTCAGCAAACGATGGAACGTGAACTAAAGACACACTTACTGCCAAAGACTCGAGAGCTGACTGGTTGGAGAAGATCTTAAATCTGTAACGTTTTATGGAGAAACTGATGAGTTGAAGAACGTGGAGAACAATGACCGTTTGTTTTACGCTGGTGATTCACGAGTCAGGATATAAACAACCTGCTTCTATTCTGGATACAACCAGCACAACTTTCTGCCTCCTTTGTCACCTGCATCTTCAGATCTGGTCCAGGAACACCCCAAACAGAATCAAAGACCAGGGACCTGGTGGGACCAGTTGGAACCTGACCCTGGTGGAATCCAACCCACGCTGAGAATCATGCTGCTGTTTAATACACCGTATTATTTTACATTATTAGCGTTTAGCGTATCTCTTAGATCATTATATACCGCATGTTTTTACACTTTATACTTTTGTTAGTTTTGGGTGTAAAGGGGACCTTGAGTACATCATTTCGTTCCACCTCATGTACCACATGTGATGCGAATGACGAGAAATTTGAACTTGAGAATGAGCTTGATTTTGTTTTGAGAATGTAGCACCCCCACAGAATGTCCCAGGATCCAGAACCACAAGATCCATGTGGACTGGAGAATCAAACTGCCATGACCCGCTTAGCTCGGGTCCACTTAACGACCCAGGTGAAAGTCCCACTGCTCTTCCTGGATCTTAGTTTGGAGCTTCTCTTCCAACCCTGAGAAGTGCGATTCCTCCAAAGTTGGACTGCACTTTCCAGTCACCTTTAAAACCACTCGTGAACGTCAGTTTGCCGCTCCACAGGTGTTTTCGCAGCCCTCCGTGCAACAGTGAAGGGGCGTGACGACCATGGCAGCACCTCAGCCTAATGGCAGATGGCTCTGCAGTCCTCAAGCTTTTTAACAACCTTGATCATCTCTGCCCAGGTAACTGCCCAGGTAACTGCCGAGCTCTCGGCCTTGGAAGTCTTGGTTCATCCTCAAGTTCGTTGCACGACAAGTTCTGATGATGTCCCAATAAATAAAGAGCAGAGGCCTCATGTGCAACATGGACAAACTTCAGCTGGATCAAGAATGAAGTTAATGGAAGCGTGCACAGCCTCAGTCACACTTCATGGCTGGTGTACGCATGTTTCCTCAGTGGGGGGGGAGAGACAGACGGCATTCTGGGAAACTTTTACTGATATGAAAATAACCGGACACACCTGAAACTCAAGGAACAATCAATGAAATCCACACCAGTGCTTAATTTGTAAATCAAACAATGTTGAAACGCAAACACCAGAGAGAGGTCTGGGGGTCCTCCCCCAGAAGTTTTGAATAAAGTAGATGCCATTTCCTGCATTCTGGTGTATTTTAACAGGTTGTTAAACATCTACAGTACACCTCAAGATGACCTGACTGAAAATTTGTTGGATTGTATACCTGAATTATTGAACATGGACTTTTTTGATCTACAGTATGTTTAACTACATTTGTAAATACTTGATTCAATAACTATTTTAAAAAGCAGCTAGAAGTAGCCTGACCAACAGCTCTCCTTGTGTGAATAGAGCATACTCTGCTTCTCTCAAGCATCCCCCCCCCCCCCCCCCACACACACACACACTTGACAGTTCTGAGCCAGACTCTTCTCCCCTGAATTCACTGTCCTCCTCGTTGCTGTTCTCCACATGTGAAACCTCCAGGCGCCTCCTCAGGCTGTTCATGGCGGGTGGCTGTGGGCTCCTGCCCCCGTACGACTGCCTGTTAGCTCAGCTCTCACCCACACCACTTGCACCTGTTCAGTATCTCCACTGCCACTGCCTTCATGTGCTTCAATTCTCGGCTGTTAAGTTGTACAATGAGAATTTTTTTTTTTTTTAATGAACGTAAATTGGGCTGTCTTTTCAACATTTTGGTCATTATTATTTTGACAAATTGGCGCCGTTGTTTTTTGATACGTGATGTACGTCACGTACAAACATTTCAACATCAAACATTTCTCGTGTTTTTAATAAAAAAAAAAATGTTATTAATGACCAACTTGTACTGTAAAACTGATTTGCTATTTAGTATTTAATTATATTTTTGTGTTTTTAATTAAATTGCCCATGACTGTACTTTTAGGGGCAGCGATCTATTTAAGGGTAGAAGCGAAAATGCTTACCTGAAGGAGCATCTCTGATGTGATATTAGGAAGCTCGTAAGTGGCTGTTGTGTTTAAAATTAGTGTTTACGCAATTACTTTTGGCTTACATATCCAATATAGGTTTTATTCATTCAAGGCAGTCATATTTGTTCATAACTTTATTATTAGTATGCCTGAGAGTTACTGGATCCAAGCAAACAGTTAATGGAATGCACCCTGTCAAAATAAAATAGTTCCCGGATCCTGTTCCGACAGGATCCGGCTCATTAAGCCCCGATCCACATGTATGCAATTACATGAGTGGGCATTAAACAATGCTCAAAGTGGTGCAGAAAATACCTTTAACAGTAGATTTATCCTCATTAGAGTTTGTTGCACTGTTATCAGTCATGTTAATACTATTGTACATGGCACGGTGCAACGACAGGAAATAAGAGAACTCTTGAAGTTTCAAAGTCATTCCTGTTGGAACTGAGCAGTCCTTCCTTTTTAGTTTCAGCTTATTGCAGCAGCATATAATTATTTTTAAATCAAAACGCTAAAAATAAACCTAAAAACCAATGAGACTGATGTATCCAGCGCTGACGGTGAGTTTCACCAGTCAGCGGTCACTTGGATGTTTCAGGGCGGCAGACTCTAGCTTTTTTTAGACCTCCGTGGATGGATGTGTAGCTGCATGTTGGTCAGCGTGGTTAGCGTCAGTGAGCTGGCTAAATGTTGACATCTGTTAAATCACAGGTTGAGGAGGAACACAGATTTTCTGTGTAACACTGGACTCATCTTCAATCAGAATAAGTAGATTTGCTTCCACGGAAAGCAACAGTGACAGAAGCAAACATCACATGAAAATAATTTAATTAAATTTGAGTGGATTTATTTAGGTTGAATAAATTGCTTTGAATTAAAATGTAAGCAGCTGGATTTAAAGTGTTGATCGTTTTGTAAAAGTACGTTAACTTAAACAGAATGAATTTGGTCATGATGTCTTTAGTCTTTTTTTTTTTTGTCTTTGGGGAGTGGTGGCGCAGAGGTTAGAAGGTGGGCCTGTGATCGGAAAGTCGCAGGTTCAACTCCCGGTACCGTCAACATAAAAAAAAAATAAAAAATGTGGGTGGAAAGGTGAAACCCCCACACCTCCCTCCACCTTCATTCACCCCACACTGGGCCCATGAGCAAGGCCCTTAACCCCCACCATCTGCTCCCTAAACAGGTCCCTCTTGAAAATGAGTTCTCGAGGCTCAATGAGACTACCTGGATAAATAAAGGTAAATGAAGAAAAAAAATTTGTCTTTATATTATGTACATCAAGGACATTTTTATTATTTAACCTTTATTCATCCAGGCAGTCTCGGAGTCACAAGGACTCATTTTCAAGAGAGTCCTGTTTGGGAGCAGAAGGTGGGGGTTAAGGACCTTGCTCAGGGGTCCAGGGTGGGGCAAATGTGGGTGTTTCACCTTTTCCACCCACATTTTGATGTCGGTCCGGGAAGTCGAACCGGTGACCTTCCGATCACAGGCCCACCTTCTCTAGCCTCTGCACCACCACTCCCTCATATGATCTGGTTCAGGTGTTTCACAAACAAAAGTAAAGATGTACCTGCGGAGATCAGCGTGGACCGCCAGGCGTTTTCCTCTCATGGAAAATTTGGCGTTAAATTTTGTTTCCTGCATAAGAAAAACACAAAACTTTAGTTAAGCTGGTTCAGGTCAGTCGTGAACTGGCAGTATTTTATATAACACACTGGTTGAAAAACTGCGCATGCACACACACACACACAGCTGCTCCACAAAAGGACCAGGGCTCTCATGTATGAACACGCAGAAAGGTTCTCCAGGTTCCTCCACTTGTCATGATGGACATCTCATTTGTCCACAAAACATTCTCCCAACAAACGTTTTAGCACAAAAAAGAAACTGTCCAGATGACCTGACTGAAAAATGTTGGATTTTATACCTGGATTATTGAGCATGGACTTTGTTGTTTTCAACCAGTTTGACAAGACTGTCAACAAGGAAGAGGGCCGGCAATGGAGGAGGGGCGTACCAAAGAGATCATCTTATCACAAGCAGAACTGATTTGTTCCACTTTGGAGTAAGCTGTTGGGGGAAGAATCAGTTTTGTTGTGCGTTTCCTCGACTGATGAAGCCTTCTGGATCGAAGGCGAAACGTTTCAGCACAAAAAAAGAAACTGTCCAGATGACCTGACTGAAAAATGTTGGATTGTATACCTGGATTATTGAGCATGGACTTTGTTGTCATTCTTCCAACAGTCTTCTGGCTTGTCCACATGATCTTCAGCAAACTGAAGACGAGCAGCCATGTTCTTTTTGAGAGCAGCGTCTTTCTCCTTCAACTCTGCCATGAACCATTGTTGTTCAGAGTTCTCCTGATGGTGGACTCATGAACATTAATGTGAGAGAGGCCTTCAGTTGTTACAAGTTACCCTTTGTGACCTCGCCCATTATTCCACACCTCGCTCTTGGAGTGATCTTTGTTGGTCCACCACTCCTGGGGAGGGAACAATGGTCTTAAATGTCCTCCATTTGTACACAACCTGTCTGACTGTGGATTGGTGGAGTCCAAACTCTTTACAGATGTTTTGTAACCTTTTCCAGCCTGATGAGCATCAACAACTCTTTTTCTGAGCTCCGCAGGAATCTCCTTTGTTCCTGACATGATCCACTTCCACAAACATGTTGTGAAGAGCAGACGCTGATAGATCCAGTTGTTTAAATCAGGGTGATCACTCACACCTGATCATCATCCACTGATTGAAAACACCTGACTCTTGTTTCACTTTCAAATTAACTGATAATCCTAGAGGTTCACTTTTACCACACAAATATGTAATATTAGATCATTTTCCTCAATAAATAAACAACCAAGTATGATATTTGTCTCATTTGTTCACATTCAATAAAATTCTTCATTTTGCTGCATCTAGATATAAGTTTTATTTTTGCAGAGATTTTCCACATGTATTTTACATGTTTAATTAGCGTGTCAGGGGAGGTGTCTCACATGCACTCAGTTCCATGTTCGTTGGGATGTATGAAAGAAAGACACGTAGAGACATGCGTACGCACGGTTTGATAAATCTGAATATTTCAGTGCGCACGTTCCTCATTTTGTCCCTACGAGAAGGTTTAGTGTGAAAACTGTCACTCTTTGGTACATGAGGCCCCCGGTGAAGTTACAGAGCCCGAGCTCTGGTTTATTCACTCCGAACTCCAACGTGATCTCATCCAGACAGAACCTGGACAAGATGTCAGTGCTGAGAGCCGCATCCCTTCTATCCTTCACCGAGTTCCAGGTCAGATCAGACGCCGCTGTGACCTCTGGTTGAGATGATGAAATTACATTTGGTCCATATTATCTGCTGTGTTTAACTCAAACCCTAGACTTCCACATTAGTTAATTTTTGTAATTAATTATTCCCATTTAAAAATAATTTCCTGTTTATTCAAACTATTCATGATTCTAATCTTACAAACCCTTAAATCATTTTACTATAAAGTCAAGGGTTTTTGTATTTCAACATCCTCAGCGTTCACTTTACTAAAGCAGGTTCAGAGTCTCAGTCACGTTGGAGTGCAGTTATGTGATTCACCGGTAAATGGACAAGTCCCTTCATAATAAAACCAATGAAGGATAAATTAAATAATTTTTTTAAATTGCTTGTTGACTGTTTCAAACTGTGCACATTGAATATTTATATGCTTTTATTGCTACAGCTTCAATAAATCAGTTACCTCTGGATGATCATTTAATTGTTACAGACTAAGCTGTGATGCAATCACAGGTCAAAGGTCATGATTTATCATTTTTTTAAACTATCGGAAACGTAAAGAATGTTTAACATTTGTGGGTTCTGTACCATGGTCATGCTGCTGAGCTGCACTGGAGGCTGCCCTGGAGGAAGGACCATCACCTTCACAATGGCTGTCATGACAACGGTTGCTCCAGATGTTTTGATGGAGGTTTTAGGAGGTGAGTTGACAGCGAGCTGCAGAGAGAGCGGAGCGTCCACCAAAGCTGGATTCTAATAAAAATTAAAAGAACATTTTGAAAAGTTAAGATTTAGAAAAACAAAAAAAGGTATATTACAATATAAAATTAAATTAAACCAGTCACTAGGGAGCACAAGCCAGAGAATCTCGGGTTCTGGTCCCAAGCCAGGGTAAATGGTGAGGGTTGTGTCAGGAAGGACATCCAACATAAAACACTTTTGCCAAATTAACATGCGAGTTCATCAAAGCGAAACCATACTGGATCGGTTGAGGCCCGGGTTAACAACAACCACCACTGGTGCTGTTGACAAACAGGGTGCCGGCGGAAATTGTGCTACTGTTGGTCAAAGACCACGAGGAAGGAAATGTGTCAGGAGACAGAAGGAGAAGAGGAAAGTGAAGAATGTAGTACTGAGGGTGGACACTCTAAATGTGGGGACAATGACAGGCAAAGGTAGAGAGCTGGCTGACATGATGCTGAGAAGGAAGGTACATGTTTTATGTGTCCAAGAGACCAAGTGGAAGGGCAGCAAGGCTCGCAGCATTGGAGCAGGGTTCAAACAGTTTTATCATGGTGTGGATAGAAAGAGAAATGGAGTAGGGGTGGTCCTGAAGGAGGAGTTGGCAAAGAAAGTAGTAGAGGTGAAAAGAGTGTCAGATAGGGTGATGTGTCTGAAGGTAGAAGTAGAAGGTCTGATTCTAAATATTGTCAATGGTTATGCTCCACTGGTTGGATGTGATGTGGAGGAGAAAGAAACATTTTGGAAAGATCTGGATGAAGTGATAGAGAGTATTCCCAGGGAGGAGAGAGTGATGATGGGAGCAGACCTGAATGGACACGTTGGTGTAGAAGGATGTTAGAAATGCAGCTGCCAGGAAAAAGACAAAGAGGAGATATATGGATGCAGTTAGAGAGGACATGGAGGTAGTTGGAGTGAGGACAGAGGATGTAGAGGACAGAGTGAAATGGACAAGGAGGAGTCATGGCGACCCCGATGAGGGAAAAGCTCTGAAGTTCTCCTCTTTCTTCCTTTTGTTATCTCTGCATCTTCTGATTTTATTCTCACCATCATCATTATGGTTCCAAAGTAGGTGGTTCTCAGCAACATTTCCAGGTCTTTGGGCATCTGAATGATTACACGAAGAAAAGGAAAAACAGACTGTGAATTTAAATTAGTCTTTGAGTCTAGTTTTGGTTTTATTTGTTGTTCAATTGTTCATTTTTATTTATTTTATGTTGGATTCATTTTTTTGTGATGGGGAATAAAAAAATTCCACCCTAAATTAAATTAAACTTTGAAATGATCATGTTGACTTTAGTGATGAGACCTACTTCCTGACTTTTAATTTGTTTCATGAAATTTCCACCTTGGTGTTGTGTTATTGCACACGTGTGTAGAGTTGGTCCCACTAATGGTGTGTTTGGGTGTTTGGTGCTGTGTTTAGTGTAGCTGTGATGTTAAAGATGAATCTGAGCATATTCACCTTTTCATTTACGATGTGCATTTGGAAAATTCCAGCAGTATAATACGAGAACAAGCCGCTGTCAAAGAAAAACTCAGACAGAGCCAGATACACCATCCTGTCAAACTCCCTGATCACTGGCTCCACTGCATAGTTTACCAGTGTGAGGTTCTGATTAGACAGGTCAAAAAACATCCCCTGTGAAAAAGGAAACGAACATTTGATACCACTGCAAATCTCATCAGGTTCTTTTAGGTCATTGGTTCCAAGTCTGACCCTAAAGTGCATGTCAAGGCTCTGGGACGTCACCACTGGATCGTCAATCAGGGAATAATCAATCCCAATATATGAATCCACCTCTGTCCTCACAGGAATGGTTTCCAACATGGCGTTAACGTGAACCAGAGCAGCGTGATTTAGAGCTGGGCAGATCTGAAGGAGAGAACGAGGCATGTTATCTTATTCACTAGATTTCATTTACAAATAACAAAAACAAGATAAACGATAAGGTACACAAATAACACCCAACACCATACTGATTTAACATTTATAGAGCCGTTCCTGTAATCCCGAGATCATGTTCAAGCCTCTGTAATAAAATATTGTCATCATTTATGTCAAAGGCAGCTTTGAGATCAAATAGGACAAGTATGGACTCGTGTCCACTGTCTAACAGGACAAGTATGGACCCGTGTCCACTGTCTAACAGGACAAGTATGGACCAGTGTCCACTGTCTAACAGGACAAGTATGGATGCGTGTCCACTGTTTAACAGGACAAGTATGGACCCATGTCCACTGTCTAACAGGACAAGTATGGACTCATGTCCATTGTCCAACAGGACAAGTATGGACCTGTGTCCACTGTCTAACAGAACAAGCATAGATCCATGTCCCCTGTCTAACAGGACAAGTATGGAACCGTGTCCACAGTCTAATAGGACAAGTACAGACCCATGTCCCCTGTCTATGTCTAACTGGACAAGTATGGAACCGTGTCCACTGTCTAACAGGACAAGTATGGACTAATGTCCATTGTCTAACTGGACAAGTATGAACTCATGTTCACGGTCTAACAGGACAAGTATGGACCTGTGTCCACTGTCTAATAGGACAAGTATGGAACTGTGTTCACTGTCTAACAGGACAAGTATGGACCCATGTCCCCTGTCTAACAGGACAAGTATGGACCCGTGTCCACTGTCTAATAGGACAAGTATGGAACCGTGTCCCCAGTCTAACAGGACAAGTATGGACCTGTGTCCGCTGTCTAACTGGACAAGTATGGACTCATGTCCACTGTCTAACAGGACAACTATGGACCCGTGTCCACAGTCTTTGGCCATAGGAACAACATTAGTAACTTTCAGCAGTGCATTTTCTTTGCTATGAGCTCTAATCTTTGGTCACTAATTGTTCGAACTCCTCAGATTTTTTTTTTGTCTAAAATATTTTCAAAAGATGCCTCAGTCTGAGACTGAGACATGTTCTGGATTCCTCGGTCCATTCAGAAGACAGAAGACTGAGGCACAAAGGGAGGTTGAAGACATCCCACTTTAACGTGGTATTAACAGAACTGGGCTGGCCAAAACCCAAAAACAACAATCTGCAGTGCCACAGCTCAGTAATGTAATGAAGTAATGACAATAGTGAAAGAGAGCCTGCCCATGGGATTAAACATTAAAGATATTTTTTACCAGGAGAACATTGATGATAATGCACAGCAACTTTGTAGTTAATTTTATAAGTTTTTTAATTTTATGAGTGCTTAGTGTATATTTAGTTGATGTTTTTCTTAGTTCATATCTTAGATGTTATTACTGTTTTTCTTATACATTTTATTGTTGGATGTAACTGGGACCCTGTGTACATAATTTCGCTCCACCACATGTACCACATGAGGTGCGAATGACAATAAAGAAACTCTGACTCTGACTCTCTGACTCTGATAAAGCTAACCACAAAGAGGATACCCAGGAGAAAGGCAGACTGGTCTGTGAGACCATTGTACAGAGCTATCTAATGAAAGAGCCCTAAATGTTCAGCAAACTGGATAAAGAGTGGGTCAGTAATAGGCTGAAGTCCAGAGACAGAGAAGAAAACTTCTCCTTGAAGCATCACAAACATCAGGAGGGAACAGACAAGTCAGAAACTCGAGCTAAAGAAGAATTGGACAAAAACAGATCACAGCAGAAAGTGTGAGACAGAAGCAGCTGATTTACCTGCTTGTTGAGAAAGAAGCGCAGGCCTGTTGTCAGAAATTTACCCAAAAAGTCATAAACTCTCCTGAAAAAAAGAAATGTTTCTGATGGGTGAAGTTTAGTCATAGAACTGTGTGAAAGAACTTCTGACTTTTTTATTATTTTCTTTGATGAATGATCTTATAAATCAGTGGTTCCCAAAGTTGGTCCTTGAGGAACACCGTCCTGCATGCTTTACTTTACCCTGCTTTGATGCACCTGATTTGAATGAATGGGTGATTAACCAACTTCTGCAGAACTTAAGGAAGTCATTAATTCACTGAATCAGGCATGTTGGAGCAGGAAACCATTGAAACATGTAGAATGGTGTTCCTCAGAGAACAGGGTTGGGAACCACTGATTTAGAGGTCATGACACAAGAATCAGAGAAACTGAAAAATTCTGACCATCTCCACCTGACATAATCAGTTTTGATACCGATTCTTTTTCATGGATATTTACTGTATTTTTACCTAAGTGTTCCACTGAACTCTGCCCTCATTTTTTTAATTTTGGCCTCACAGGTGATGTTGTTAATTTTCAGTCGTCCTTCAACATCTCGGATCAGGTGTACAGCCGTGTTGATGTTTACTCCTTCAGCTGATGCATTGATGTGTCCTGTGTCATAGCTGGAAAAAAAAAAACAGAAACAATTTCATATGTGTTGGATTTTTGAAGCTAAAAATAAGATAGTCCTAAAACATGTTTTGTATGATCAAAATAAAAAAGCAAGTGTAAAGTTTGAAATTCAACATAAGAATGTTCAAACTTCTCTGAGAACTTTTCATTCATTTGAACTTGATGTCCTCTACTTCTAAACTAAATTTGTAAAACGTTTCCTCATCAGCTGTTTCACTGGAGCAAAGGAACACTGTCACCATCTGATTACACCATAGAGTTCAATAAGACAACTAGAGGTCCACTCCCTTTCCCACCCACTGCTTTCATCTGTGACGACATGGAGGAGCAATCTTTACAATTATCATGATTGTGAGGGAAAACACCAGAGCAGAGGGCTGAGACAGAACAGGACTCGGGACAACTCAGGAATACAAAGTAAGTGAGGTTTATTTACAGGTAATATTTACAGGAGGCTCTGGGAAGAAACCAGAAACGGAGGAGGCCTGGTAAGTAGGGTTCCAGCAGTTTCTAAAGTTTACATGAATGGTTTCTCCTACAGTTTCCTTCAGGTTTGTTAGAACAGAGAGGAGAGGAGAGGATCCCAGGTAAGTAGAAGGCAGCCTGGTGGAAACAGGTTCCTTTGGGTCCAGTCCTTACTTTGGAAATGTAGGAGGTATACAGGTAGGTCCAGAGTCAGGATCTCAGAGAAAACAGGAGCTAGAAGAACACAAAGGAAAAACTGGTAAGTATGATCTCAACTCTCAGAAACACAGGAAGGCTGTCACTATACTGACTGGTGTGTAATGTGCCAGCAATGGAAAGAACACCGAATCCTCTTTATATACCCCTGGAGCTCGATAAACAGAACTGGCCTCAGCTGCTGCTCATTGGTGATGATCTTCTACAAAAGTTTGATAGCCACAGGGAGGAAGGACTTCCTGTGATCTGGGGTGTTTCTCTGGATGATCTCTATAAAAAGAAAAAAAATGAGGCTTGGGTCAAGAATGAGGGACCTGGAGATCCATGAACTTTCCTTTGGGCCATATCCCTCACAGTCAACCATGTACTGGAACCCTTGGTCTATGCATCTCACATCAAAATTTTGGCTGACAGTATAAGCCAGGTGGTTATTGATGAGCTGGGTGGGTGGAAGGTGGTTGGCAAGAGGGCACAGAGGACTCTTGGAGATGGGTTTCACTTGGAAGATGTGGAAGGTAGGATGGACGTACAAGGAAGAATGTAGTTTGAGTCTGACAGCAGCAAAGTTGATGATCATATCAACAGGGTTTAGACCAATGAATTGAGGGGCTAATTTCCTGTGAGTGCCCTTAATGTTAATGTTACATGTGGAAATCCATACTTTCTGAATAATCTGGTACATGGGAACAATAGAGTGATGTCGATCAGCGAACCTTTTATTTTGGTCTGCTGTGCACGTGAGGGCACTCCTTCTCTGGTGCCACACTCTTTGGCAGCAAAAGAGATGATGTTGCACAGAAGGTACAGAAACTTATACCAAAACTGTTTTGAGTGGTCCAGAGATGCTTCAAAAGGGGAGAGACTGGTAGCAGAGGAGGTGTGTGTATTGTGAATGTATTCATTCCATACCAAATGCTGGATTTGTGATGATGGGTTATTATTAATTATGCACCTGAGCAGCCTCCAGATCCTGGTTACAACATTCAGTTTGGCCATTAGATTGGGGATGGTACCCTGACATTAAACTGGATGAGAGCCCGAAAGTGCTGCAGAAAGTGTTCCAGGCTTGAGAGATGAATGGAGGTCCTTGGTCATAGACAATATCTGTAGGAATGCCATGAATCCTACGGATGTGCAGAACCAGGAGCTGGACCATCTCCAGGGCAGAGGGAAGTTTGCATGGGGGAAAGAAGTGGGCAGCCTTGGAAAACATATTAATGACAGTAAAAATAACTGTGTTACCCTCTGAGGGTGATAATCTGGTGATGAAGTCCAGGGAGATGTATGACTAAAGGTTTCTGGGGGTTGGCAAGGGCTGAAGAAGACCAGCAGGAGTTTGATTTCTGTACTTGTTGTATGCACAAATGGGACAAGCTGCCATAAAATCCTTGATGTCACTATTCATGGTCGGCCACCAGAAGTGTCATTAAATGAGAGTATTTGATTAGTTCCAGAATGACAGGTTATCTTGTTAATGTGAACCTAGTCAAGAACCTTACTCTTCACAGTTCTGGGCACAAAAAGTTTACCCACAGGTCTGGTACCTGAATTAGGTTCCAAACTCTGATTTTCCAGGATGTCCTTCTTGATGCTCCATGTGAGGGTGATGACAAAGCAGGAGGAAGGAAGGACATTCTCTTCTGTTTTAGGATGATCAAATGCTGAAAACTGATGGGACAAAGCATCAAGTTTGATGTTCTTGTATCCAGATCTGTAGATAATACAGACGTTAAATCATGCAAAGAATAGAGACCAACGGGCTTGTCTGGGGTTCAGCCTCTTAACATTCTGAATATAGGCCAGGTTTTTACGACCAGTCCAAACGATAAAAATAATTTCAGAAGTTTCAAACCAGTGCCTCCATTCTTCCAGGGCCAACTTAATTTTTACCAGCTCTCTGTTACCAACATCATAGTTTTGTTCAGCTTGAGAGAGACGATGACAGAAAAAAGCACAGGGGTGTACTTTGCCATTGGTCTTGAATCGTTGGGGAAAGACTGCTCCAACTTCAGGGTCCAAAGTATCCAAATCTAAAATAATCTATCATGTGGGATCAGGATGACACAGGATGGGGGCAGAAGAGAACAGTTGCTTTGTTGCTTTAACCCACAGAAAAGCAATACAGAGATCACACCAAAATTAGTGTTGGCTTCTGGTGTCCATTTAAAAGTTTTTGGGGTAGAGGTGAGTTGGGTAGGAGGAGAAGTGGTTTTATTGTAGCCTTTGATTAACCTTCTGTAGAAATTGGCAAAAACCAAAAGATGCTGTAGCTGTCTGCAATCATCTGGAACCAACCACTCTTCCACTGCCTCGATCTTTTCAGGGTCAGTCTGCATCTGTCCTTTTGCAAAAATGAATCCCAAACATAACACAAAGGTGACATGGAACTCACTCACTTTGTCTGATTTGATAAACAACTGGTTCTCGTAGAAATGTTGGAGGATTGCCCTGACACGGTGAGTGTGTCGCTATAGGTCCTTGGAATAGATTAGGATTTCATCTAAATAGACAAACACAAAAACATTTAGGGAATCACGGAGGATATCATTATCCAGAACCTGGAAGACTACAGGGGCGTTAGTGAGGCAGAAAGATATCACCATGTATTCAAAATGGCCGAGTGGAGTCCAGAAAGCTGTCTTCTACTCGTCTCCCTCCCTAATCCTCACTAGATGATAGGCATTACTTTGATTGTCTATTAGTTAATGATTTGATAAATGATCATCATACTGACTTATTCTGTTTGACATAAACCTAGCTACAACATTTTTGTTAGTGTTAATGAATCCACTCTGCTAATTATTTAAAATTTAATGTTCCTAGAACAAGGTGGTCAAGGGTTTCATGGACAAATATAATTGAGTATCATGACCTCAGCCAGTCGAAGAAGACGGCCGCTCATTCTGAGCCTGGTTCTGCTGGAGGTCTCTTCCTGTTAAAAGGGAGTTTTTCCTTTCCACTGTCTCCTTTGTGCTTGCTCAGGATGGGAGACTGTGACAAAGTGAAGATTCAACACAATGTGCTGTTTCCTAAGATAGATAAATTTTACCAATTGTCTTTTACAATGTATGTGAATGTTTTTGTACAGTGCCCTGAGATGACTTCTGTTAGGAGTTGGAGATATAGAAATAAACTGAATTTAACTGAATGTAATCTAATTTTGAAAATATAGAGGCAGAGTAGAGCTGTTCATGCACAGAATCAATAAGGGGTGATGGGTACTTATTTTCCACTCGGATTTGATTAGGGCTGCTGTAATCAATACATGGTCTTAAAGTTTTATCTTTCTTGGCCACAAAGAAAAGTCCTGCCCCTATTGGGGAGGTGGAGGGAAGAATGATGTCTGAGGCTAAAGACTCTTCAATATTACTAATCACATTATTATTATTATATACAGGGACCATGTGTACATACTTTCATACCACCTCATATACCACATGTGATGTGAATGACAATAAAGACACCTTGACCTTATTGTCTCCTTCTCAAGTCCTGAAAGGTTGTACAACCTAATGGCGTGTAGGGGCAACCGGAAGGAGATCAATGGGGCATTCATATGATCGGTGAGGAGGTAGGGGGGTGTCTCTCTCTTGGGGGGAAATGGCAGCAGAGCTGAAGCAGTTTCTAAACAAAACATCCTCCACTGCTCTATCCTTTTCTCTGACCAGTTAAGTTTTGGATTGTGTCTCTTTAGCCAAGGGAATCCAATGAACTGTGGTGTAGATGAGTCAAAAATTAAGAACTCACCCAATGGTTACCCAAAATGATGAGATAGAGTTCCTGAGTTCTCTGGTGGGTCATTGTTAGATTTTGTCTGGTGATTTCAGCAATAGACAGGGGTGAGGCGAGTGGCTGAACAGGAATTACTAGTTGCTCCATCAAATCCCTGCTGATGAGGTTTTGTTCTGCCCCAGAGTCCAGGAGAGCTTAAATGGGTAATTTTACTCGATAAGTCATACATGTGGTGGGCAACATTAAACAGGAACCAGGAGAAAAAGAACTTCTCACCAGTAGCTCCCGATTTACTGATAAGAAATTCCTTTTACCTTCGCTGGGCAAAGATCAATAAAATGTTCGTTTGTACCACAGTAAATGCATTATTTAGCAATATTTTGTTGTTGTCTCTTTTCAGGAGAGAGACGAGTATGTCCCACCTGCATAGGTTCTGAGTCAGGTTCAGGCTTGGGTGTTGAAGCTTGAAAAGTTTTGTAGCTGGCATGGGGTGGAACCTGGAAGTGAAGTGACACTGGGAGTTGTAGTCCCTTTCTCTCTGTCTCTCTCAGGGTCGATTGTCAATGTGGAAGGTCAGGCTTATTAATCAATCCAAGTTCTGTGGCTCATCCTTTGTAGCGTGTTGGTCTTTTATCTGTTCGGAAAGTGAGTTAAGAAATGTACCTTGCAGGGCTCACGCATGCAACCCATCTCCTCTGCTGTGATCCGGAAGTGGATAGAATTCGCTGAAACTGATCTCCATCCCTGCTGCATGGGCAGAAGACATTTTGCTGCCTCCATCTGCTGGAGAGAGTGGTTGAACACAAGTAAGAGGTTCTTAATGAAATGAGAGACAGTTAGTGTCTTGGTGGGATGAGAATTCATGTAAGCAAGTGACTAGCGGAGGGTGATTCCTTTAAGAGCGCTCACAACATACTGTAGGTAATCGTGGAGGGCTTGGAGGAATAAGTTATTGGTGCCCTGCTGAATTCCTGTCTGCACTGTAACATGAAACCACTACATAATCAGGATCACCATCAAAATATTCTGAGGGTCTATGTCAGAAGAAGTTGAAGTCTGGGAGGAACCACTTGACTGAGAAGTCTGGAATGAAGGAAGTAATGCAGCCAGCTTCTGATCACTGGAAAACATCATGCTGCCAAGTTCCTCCAGACAGTAGTCTACCGTTGAGAGAGGATTTGGTGAATGGTGGATTCATAATTATATGTATTTTATTTGTTTACTGAAAGTGTGTTGAGTCTTTTCGTTTTCAGTTCTGAACAGGGATAAGGCATTTTGGCTGGACCATTCTATCATGATTGCAAGGGGTAAACATCAGAGCAGAGGGCTGAGACAGAACAGGACTCGAACAACTCAGGAATACAAAGGCCTGGTAAGTAGGGTTCCAGGTAGCAGGTTCTAGAGTTTACATGAATGGTTTCTCCTACAGTTTCCTTCAGGGTTGTAAGCACAGAGAGGAGGGTAGAGGGTCGCAGGTGAGTAGAAGGCAGCCAGGTGGAAACAAGTTCCTTTAGGTCCAGTCCTTACTTCGGAAATGCAGGAGGTATGCAGGTCCAGGTTAAGAGTCAGGATCTCAGAGAAAACAGGAGCTAAAAGAACACAGAGGAAAAACTGGTAAATATGATCTCAAATCTCAGAAACACAGGAAGACTGTCACTATGTTCCAGCATCAAGAGGAACACTGAGTTCTCCTTATAAACCCCTCGAGCTCATTAACAGGACTGAACTGGACTCAGCTGCTGCTCTCTGGTGCCGATCGGCTACAAGGGACAAACTGCAAGGCAAGAAACATATATATATATATATATATATATATATATATATATATATATATATACCACAACATAAAATGTATAAAATTGATAATTAATGTTAATTTATAGGGCAGCACGATGGCACAACTGGTAGAGCTGCTGCCTCTCAACAAGAAGGTTGCCGGTTCAAATCCCGGTCCGGGTGCCTTTCTGGGTGGAGTTTGCATGTTCTCTCCATGCATGCGTGGGTTTTCTCCTGGTACTCCAGTTTCCTCCCACAGACCAAAACATGCATGTTAGGCTGATTGGTAACTCTAAATTGTCCCAGGTGAGAGTGAGAGAGTGAATGGTTGTTTGTCTCTATGTGGCTCTGTGATGGACTTGTGACCTGTCCAGGGTGTACCCCGCCCCTCGCATAGGGATTGCTGGACATGGGCACCGGTGACCCCGTGACCCAAAATGGAAGAAGCGGGTAAAGATAATGGATGGATGGATTTATAAGGAAAATATATCAATTATAAATACTGATCTAAACTAGATCTGAAGTCAGTCAATAAAGCTAGTTGAAAAATTATGAAAAACTGATGACTTTCCAATTAACTTTTTTAACATGAAAATTTAATGCATTCAATATTAATCAATAACTTCTTTATACACAAAATATTATAAACAGTAAACATTATAAACACAAAATTATATGCATTATGCACACATATATATATATATATATATATATATATATATACATACAGTATATATCACTGTAATTTAATATACTGTGGTGTATCTTAAAATTTGACCAAAGAAAAACTCAGTACAGTAGTCCTTAGTTTATCGCGAGGCATTCGTACCCTGAAGACCCGCGATAAGTGAAAAACCGTGTAGTAGGAATAGTAGTACAAGTGGTAAGTAGTAGTTTATGTAAGTGTCTTAAACGTTTCTCACATTCTTGCAATATTCTACACAATGTTTCTAAACGCTCTAAAAGAGCACAGCATGACATGATTTCAGCTCTCTGTTTCCGCTGCTCTCTGCCACCTGCCAGAGCTCTTGGCCACGCCCACTTCTCCGCTGCAGAGCAGAGATCATGACACGCTGCAGGAGGAAGCTTCTCTTTCAGCTGTTGACTGCACACAGTTGCAGGAAGAGGGTTTTTCTACAGTTGTGGGCTGCACAGGTGCAACAGGTGCTAAATAATATTTTCAAATAATTAATTTTAAATAAAAATTCCATGTCAAACTTGCGGCTCATCCACCAATTAGCCAATTGTGTTTCGTGTACAATCTTATTAAGAAAAGCCACGATAGAGAGAGTCCGGGAGAAACGAACTATGAAGTAGCGAGGAACTAATTACATATAAAGGTTTCTGCATAACCGTGTTGGAATAATGTATATTTATTATTACTTTGTATTTACCTGTTAGAAAATGTTCACTGCAGACCGGGTGATGCTCTGAACGGTGAAACTTGTCTCTACTGATGTTGGCTAACCATCTTCTCAACAGGTGGTTTGTGTAATGGAAACCTAAAAATAGTCAAATATATCATATTATTTTACACTGTGTAAATATTACATAAATCGGAGGCAACACCAGGTTGTACTATTTAATAATTAGTGCTAAACTGGTTCAGCATAGTGCCACAATCCGCAGAACAACATCTGCCACAAAAGCTAATATCTACAAGTCAGTTCATCAATTAACAGCAATCGCATCGACTTAAAGGCTAATTTTAATTTAAACGTTCCGTTATCAGCTTCAGTCGAGGTAAAGAAGATCAAATCTGATGACTCGAGAAACGAGACACGTTTTCCTGTCTCTCTTTGGTTGGTACAACCGTGGCACATGCAGTTTATATACATTATATAGCTTCTATACGTTCTAATATTCTTTTATTACGATCAGTAATAATTGTTGCAATTTTTACATACCGGTGATCAGTTATTGGCTATTTTGCCAATATCTAAACAATGCTAAGTCCAGATGCTCGCCCTCTCTGGTCCCACCGTGAGTCATGTCACGTGACCACTGCGCCCTCTAGTGGTCTTATTTAACTCTATGGGTCACACCGATGATTAAACACTGTCACCATGTGGTTGCAGCCAGTCTTGCAGACTGGAACCCAGTCAGGTCAGTTACTCTAAAAATGCGCTTCAGAATAAATTTACAAACTGAAACATGTTTTATCCTGACTGAAAAATGAAAAAGCAGCTCTGTAGGACATGATGGCGTGCCTTAATGTCACATTTTGACCATGCCAAGTCAAAGTTAAAAGTCAAGCAAGGTTACCGTATTATTTTTTTAAATGTTGAGATTTTTTTTTTACCAAATAAGAAAATAATGGCCCAACTGAGAAAACCTCACATGACGTCCTTTAAAAGAAAGTGGAAACAGTATAATGTCAAAAGGTGACTGCAGTGTGTAGGTGCCCCACTGTATTAGACTTCCTTTGTGTTCTGTGTAAGAACTAACAAGAACCAGTAGAGGATCTGTCGGTAGAAGCTCAGGGAGATGGATGAGTTCTGAACGTCGAACAACAAGCCAACATCAGGGATGAACTGCAGGTCCGAGTGACTTAAATTCAGCTCTTTTATCTTCACACTGACAGGAAATGAGAGGCAGCAGCAAACGATTACTACACACATCATACACGACCAGTATTACTGTGGTACTTTGAGAGAACGCCGTACTCAGAGATGGTGTACTGGAAGCGTCCTTCTGTGCCCTTCATCTCTGGCACACTGATGTTAGTGAGCTCCTCTTCAACAAACTTCTGAGTCTCAGATTTCACTGAAGACACAAAACACATTGATGTGTCAAAGAACACTGAATGTACTTCGATTATTTGGACTGAACAGGAGAACAGAGTTAGTACTTTTGAAGCAGAGCGTTAGTTTGAGGTACGAACATGAAATAAACGGTTGGCTCCTCAGAGCTGTGGTCACAAGGTTCTCTGGTTCTTGGAGATCTGAACTGAGAACTTGTTGAAGCAGCTGTGGAAGCTCTCAGAGAACTGCTCCGTTGAAGGAGAACAACCCTGATCTACGCCGACCTCCACACTGAGGAGGTTCTGAGGAGCAAACCAACTCCATGTTGCTGCTGCTTCATGGTCTCAATCATTTTACAGTTCACAGCTCACTGACCAGGAAAAACAAATATGAGGATCACTTCACAAATATCACCAACCCAAACCCTCATGTGGGTCGAAGAGGAAACATTAAAGCATTTTGTTCTGACTGACACTGAAACGTTTGGTAGATATCTCCTAAATAACTCAACAACCACTTTTTGGATCACATTCATACATGTTTATAAAATTTATTTATTTTTTATTGAAGAAATTATTATTACAGGTAACTCATCTTCAGAAAAAGGTTTTTCCTGCTGTCTTTAGGACGACCATCGTTAAATCCTGAACACAGAATCAAGATTTCTTCATTTTTATTAACTGTGGACCAATTAAAACGGGCTGATTTTCAGTTGCTTTTATTTATTTATTTTATTTTTTTATTAGAGAGGCATGTTTTTCTTCCATTTATGTGATGTGCTTTATTGATTTTGGATGTTTCATTCTTTATTGTGGCTACTTGTTTTTTGATGAAAATGAGCTCGAGGTTAAATCTGTTGCAACGCATCAAATATTTTTACATTTATTATTATGTAATTATGTTATAATCACACACTGTTCTGATTAAATAAAGTAAAAACAAAAGCAAAGATAATCAGGTTTGCCTTGAAACACACAATACTAACTAAAGATAAATGTGTATACTTACACATCTCCAGTCCTTTGTCAGTGATCCGGACTTTACAAGCAGCAGGCTCAGCAGCAGCCATGATGGACACCCCCGTGACGAGTAGGAGCACGGACAGCACACAGGAAGTCATTCTGAACCACAGGAAGCCGACCTGAACGAAGAAGATCAGCTGAAGGTCAGAAACACGGTCAAAGTCTCAACTAGAGCAAATGGAAAGATGAGTCTTTGCCTCAAGCTAAGGACGTTTTGGACGTCTTGTTTACATGAGACGGTAGGACGGAGCAGGAGATGGACCAACGGGGCCTCATAAGCAGTAATAAGGACTTTGCTCCAGTCCGTTATTGTGAAAAAGAAACTGAGCAGAAATGCAAAGCTCTGGGTCTACTGACAAAAAAGGTTGAATCATGTCATCTGGACTTCGTTTTTTTGTTAAAAAGAAACGTTTCGCCCCTCATCCAAGAGGCTTTGTCAGTCTGAGGCCTAGCCATCTGGTATTACCCAGAAGCCACCCTGACTCTTGTGTTTCAAGCCTGCCTCAGATACCCCTAAAGTCTGGCCTTTTCACTAATGGTTTCAAAAACACAAAGTTTGTTTTCTCAGTCATCCAGGTATATAACAACAAAAAAGGTTGAATCATGTCATCTGGACTTCGTTGTCAGGGTGGCTTCTGGGTAATACCAGATGGCTAGGCCTCAGACTGACGAAGCCTCTTGGATGAGGGGCGAAACGTTTCTTTTTAACAAAAAAACGAAGTCCAGATGACATGATTCAACCTTTTTTGTTGTTATATACCTGGATGACTGAGAAAACAAACTTTGTGTTTCTGGGTCTACTGGTTTGTTCATGCTTCATCCCTCACTGATGCTCATGAACTCCATGATGATTTGGAACTCCAAGATGGTGCTGTAATGGCGACAGGCAGCAGTAGTGGAGTGTGAACCAAGAAAGACGACTCTTTTTAAAATACTACTCTGCTCATGCTTCAGTTAAATAAAGTTCAAGTAAAAAATGACTATAAAATCAGATCAGAACTAGAAATTTCCTGGAGAAACTTTGACAGGGACTGCCTATTTGTTATTAAATTATTATTCATAATAAATATTAATATTAATGATTATTAATATTAATACTAAATATTAATTATTAATATTATTAATTATTAAATAATTAATAATTAGTAATCAATATTAATAATGTCACACCAACAATTAGTATTAATATTAAATATTACTTATTAATATTAATAATTATTGATACTAAAATAGATAATTATTAACATTATTAATTTATAATTAATAATAATTTTTTAATATTACTAATTAATAATAATAATAGGTAATAATAGGTGCCTTCCTTGCATGTGGAACCAAAATGGCTCCATACGTTACTCAGTTTCTATGAAGAGTTTTCTCCTATTCATTGCCTATGGGAAATTTGTCATCTTTGTTAGCAAAATATGTTGCCATGGTAACTGCGAAGACCAATAAAAGTAGTTGCACACTTCCCGGAGCCGGGCCGGTCGTTTTGATATAACTTTTGTGGGGGTCCACTTTGCGGTTCGGGCCACATTAAAGTTGAAAAAGATGCTCTTCAGGCGTAGAATAATAAGTGGGCAGTCACCAACTAGTTCCTGGAGTTGGTGAAATATTGCGTCTTTATTCGCAAATTACGTCGCCATGGTAACTCGAAATGCCAATAAAAGTAATAGCACACATCACGGGGCGAGCCGGTCGTTTTGATATAAATTTTGTGGGGGCGCTGTGGTTCGGGCCGCATTAACGGAGATAGAAATGTAGACTCACTTCCGAGGTGTAGAATAATAGGTGCCTGCTATTAATTGTTAACTGACGGGATTAAATAGACGTTTATTTGTCCCAAGATAGCCATTTAAACAATAACTCTGCTGATTATTCATGCTGCTGATTATCCATGCTGCTGATCTCTTGCCTTTAACCTGCTGTACTCATTCATACCCATCTGCTCACCACAGACTCAGGTTCAGGCTGCTGTTTAATATACCATATTATTTTACATTATTAGTATTTAGTGTATATCTTAGATCCTTGTATACTGTTTCTTTTTATACTTTATATTTTTGCTATTTTTGGGTGTAACTGGGACCTTGAGTACACAATTTTGTTCCACCTCATGTACCACATGTGATGCGAATGACAATAAAGAACATTGAACTTCGAACTCTGCTGTTTGTGCAGGGTCTCATCGGTCCAGTAGGAGGACCTACAGTAGACTGGAGGGGTCCAGACCACCTCTGATGCTGGTCTGGAGGGAACTGTTCTCCATGTCCTCAGCGCGGCCTGTTTGGACTCCAGAGTCTGGTTTTTATTAAAGAGTTCTGGTCAGACCTGATGGTTCTTCAGTTCTTCTCAGTTCTGTTGATTTAATTTGTCCAAAGCTTTCAGGCAGTTTGTTCCTGTTGACTGTTAATAATAATAATAATAATAATAATAATAATGTCATCACAATGTCAGCACTGTATGTTTCCATACAATGGCGAAATTAGTCTCTGCATTTAACCCATCCACCACCAGGTGGTGCAGTGGGCAGCTATTGAAAGCGCCCGGGGGACATTTTGGGAATTAGACGTGCTGCCCAGAGACGCCACGTGATGTGCAGTGACTGGGGATCGAACCTGGGACTCTCGGGTCCCAAGCCGGCTGCCCTGCCTCTACACCATCTCGGCCCCTAGAGGAAACCGTCAGGTTTTCAGAGTCCACTCTGAGACTCAGATTGATTCAACTTTTAACAACAGAATTAAATTAAAGTGTTGAAGTGGAAAAAAGTGAGTCTTTAAAAGTTAAATCAATTTCCAAGAAATAACATTTGTTTAGTTTCAAACTAAAAAGTTTAGCTGAAGTTTAAAATGTCGAGAAGATGAACTGAAGAAAAGAAAGAGAAGGAACCCATCCAAGCTGCTGTTTGTGTTTGGAACAGAAAAACAGAAAGCGGGTCACGGTGCTGCTGGGACACAGTGTGGGTCAGGTGGGGGGGTTACTGCAGGTCAAACTGCTTCTTTGAATGAATGTCACAGCGTGAACAATGTGTTCAGTTTCAGCTTCCTGTTCACTCAGCAGGCCCTTCAGTCTGTGGACTCCAGGTCTACAGTCCATCGGCCCAGACCACGGCAGACCACAGAAGGGATAGAGTCCATGGACTCCAGGTCTACAGTCCATCGGACCAGACCACGGCAGAACACAGAAGGGACAGAGTCCATGGACTCCAGGTCTACAGTCCATCGGCCCAGACCACCGCAGACCACAGAAGGGACAGAGTCCATGGACTCCAGGTCTACAGTCC